TCCGGGTATCCTTGGTGCTGCAAGTCGGAGACCCGCTTGTTGTAGCATTGTCCTTGTGATACTCCATGGCTGGGTGGGGAGCTCGGAAGATGAACCATTAAAAACTAACCATGGCATACGAAACCCACCTTAAAACAACACAACGTTAACTTGGCACTGATCCAGATGGTAAGGACCAACGACTGTGCACATCCATTGATTACTGGCCACGTTTTCTCGTGATTGAGACTCAAGATAGCACAAAATTAAAGTTCAACCCTTTTGCAATACAGAAAGGCATACAAGGCATTGCCGGTGATGTAAAAAATATCAAACGTGAAGAAGCCAGAAGTTTGGTCATGGTGTTAGTACTTGCACATTGTCTGTAGTGTGCTCACTGGGGTGAGCAGACACATACAACAGAAGACTGTGGCAGTGACTTTAAGAAATGTACCAACTGTGCAGGCAATCACTCATCATTCTCAAAAGAGTGTCCGATCTGGAAACAGCAGATGGAAATAAATAAGATAAAGTTTACTCAAAATATCAGTTTTTCTGATGCCAAAAAGCTTGTCTTGAGATCGGAATTAAGGAAACTTATGCTTCCAGAAACAACCCAAACAATAACTAAATCATCTGTAAGCTGTCAGACGAACTTGACTTGGATCAAAACAGATTCTCCTAAGATTTTGTCACCTGCAATATCTACACAAACTGCAGAACCACTTCCTGGCACGTCCCAAATCCAATCAGACCCATCTTATGACCGTGACACATCTTTAAAGGTTTCAATCAATGTCAAACGTTCAACAAATCGTTAACAAAAAGGCAAACCGAAGCCAGATTCTTTGAAGAAACAAAGTGGCAGAGCCCCAAAAGGGTCAGATGATAAAATCAAATTATTTAACAAATACGAATCACTTGAGGACATGGACGTGTCCGAAAACGTCCATTCTAGGGCACATAGCTTGTCGCCCTCGAAAATGGTGCGGGGTAAATCCCAAATTCATCCGCCTAAAAGAGAGGTCTATCTAAACATACCGTGCAATGGAACTGTGGAGGACTATGGACAAATTTTAATGAAATACAGCTATTAATCCAGGATTTAACACCATCAGCGTTCTGTCTGCAAGAGACGTATCTGAAACAAACAGATCATATTAACTTTCGTCAGTTTGAAGCCTATCATTGTTTTTCCCCTACAGGTGATAGAGCCACTGAAGGTTCTACTATCCTTTTACGACAGGATGCTATTCACAGCCCTGTTACACTTAACACTAATCTCAAGCTGTTGCAGTGCGACTTACTCTGGGTGTAGCATTTACGTTATGCTCTCTGTAGATTTTGTCTGTCACATTGTTTGGCATCAAGATCAATAGTTTTAACGGTTTTAAATGATTCAGTTGATGGGTCATTATTTGTGGATTATTTCAATATTTCTTGTCGTGGTAAAAATAAACACACTATTGAACGCCAACTGCAGTTATGTTTAAATAAAATAAATAAATGGTGTCTTGAAAATGGCTTTAAATTTTCTAAATGAAGAACTAATTGTATACATTTTTGTAGGAAATATAAGCCGCATTAGGACCAAGAACTATCTTTAAATGGTATTCCCATCAAACTTGTAAAGGAGGCCAAATTCTTGGGCCTAATTTTCGATTCCCATTGAACATTAAATTCCTTAAAGCTAAATGCCTGAAGGCACTCGATTTATTAAATGTTGTCTCCAATTCAAAGTGTGAAGGGGATCAAACTACCATCCTTCACTTATATAGATCATTAGTGCGATCTAAACTTGATTATGGCTCCATCGTATATGGTGGAGTCTGCAAAAAGCAACCTAAAACTATTTGATTTTGTCCACCACCAAGGCATAAGACTTTGTCTTGGGTCTTTTAGAACCTCCCCTATTGATAGGCTCTATGTTGAGGCTGATGAGCCATCCCTTAACCAACGTCGTATTAAATTATCATTACAGTATAACAAAACTCTGTTCTAACGAGTCTAATCCTGCATTTAACTGTGATTTCTATCCTCTTTATGAGGATTTATACAACAAAGGTCTTTTCTTCTTCTGCCTCTTGGGATAAGAATTAAACCATTCATTTCTGCTGCCGGCATTGAGCTGGACAATATATCTCCTTCCCGTCTTCTTTCTTCTCCTCCTTGGCAGCTGGTGAGGCCTGAAATCTGACAAACCTATAGAAATCTGAAACTAATGAATTACAATATAAACAAGAATATATTCAATTGAAAAATAAATATAATACATATAAATCCGTATTTACAGATGGGTCCAAGGATGGTGGCGCTGTTGCTTGTGCCACTGTCATTGAATCCAGAACAATATCTTCTCGCATACCTGATAACAGCTCTATTTTTACAGCAGAAGCAAACACCATACTAACAGCCTTAAAATATATTAAACATCACCCTAAATACAAACAATATATAATCGTTTCCGACTCTCTTTCGTGCCTTCAGGAGATTAAAAATCTTTCTTGCAAACATCAACTTTTAATGGAAATTATTGAATTATATAACTCTCCTGCTACTGGCCAATATGACATCGTCTTGGCATTTCTGGGAACACAATGGCCGATCTAGCTGCCAAGGCAGCACTCAAAAAATCTGTGACACCACTTCTTATTCCATACTCTGATTATAAAGCTAGCATTAGAACCTACATCCGTGATCTGATGCAAAAGAAGTGGGACGCCCAAGTAGGTATTAACAAATTACATGGAATAATACCCTATATCGGTAACACTGACTTGGGTTGTCAGTCCAGATTTGAAGAGGTCATCATACGACGATGTCGTATTGGCCACACGCATGTCCTGCTTGACTGTGTTGAATTCTCCATCATAAGGGATAAATATTTCAATATCAAAACAGTAAAAGACCTTTTTTATAAAGTTAATTATCATTTAATCATTGATTTTGTAAAAGAGATAGATTTGTTAAATGAATTTTGATATATGTTTTGTAAGTCCCAAAGGTAATGTAAGTCCCCATGGTTCCTAGTGTGGTGATCTAACTTCAGATGCTTCACGCAGCTAACATCACTGGTGGAAACATTACGTTTCTGTTTTACGACGGTTAAATGTGTCAATTCGACTCACAAGTTTTCAGTGACACGGTAACGTTCGCAATGTTTACATTCCCACAATGCAATCGTGGAATGTCGCTTGACTACTCAGCTTCACCTGGATGTACTGATCTAAACTTACGTTGGTAGTAGAAATGCGAGGTTCATATTGCCCCATATGGTTTACGTTACTGACAGATGTAATTAAAATAATTCAGAGAAGATATTTAATCCGACGTAAACCGTCATCAAACTGTTATCATTTGTTTGTTTTCTGGTAACGTTCGTCTTAACGTAGGGGGACAGACACATCAATAGAACAGCGCGCCTGTGAGCCCTGTGCGAGGATTCTTAATTTAGGTCACCGACACCGTCGTTTGTTTTCTGCCTTAAATTAATCGTAATTATCCTTAGAAAGTATTAAATTTGGCATCTTAGAAAAGAAATACAGTTCGCTCTATCACCATGTATAGTGTAATAAAGCACACCTTCGCCCTGAACTATGATAACGTTAAAGCACTCGGACGAAAGCGTCCTCGTACTTTAACTACAATAGTTCAGGGCGAAAGTGTGCTTTATTACATTATACATGGTGATAGAGCGAACTGTATTTCTTAATTAGAAATGCAAACCTATTGTCGTCTCTATGGTTATCTAATGTGGACGAACGACCAAATATACATCTGTGATGTTACTGTCCTTCGTCGACAGGTTTTTATAGTTAATTGTTGTTATCTTGAATTTTTAACTTTCTTAGTGTCGATTTAGCTGATATATTGCCGATGTAACTCATTCACTCACTCACTCGCTCATAAGTAAATGTTTTTCAAATGTTGTATTTAATATTTGTATGTTGTATATAATAGTCAATTTAAACTTGCTATGGTTTTAACTGCAGTATATATGTTTTTGTAATTTTATGGCTAGATTGTCAAACATTGCTGACAGCTGAAGGGATGGTGTAAATCCAGCTAGGGTCCATGGAGGTAGCAAAAGTAACGTAAGTCCACATGGTCCCTAGTATGGTGATCTACCTTCGGTTGTTGGCAATCTATAGCCTGTTTTTTTATATTTTGTATTGTCATGTATAGTTAAATGTTTTAAATTTAACTACTAGTTTAAATTCATCTAGTTGTTTTACTGTCCTTCGTTGACAGTTTTTTATAATTCATCTTTAATTGTTATTAATCTATAACTTGATTTAGTCACGATATGGCTGAAATAATGCCAAAGTGACTTTAAGTTTTGACTCGCTCACTCACTTGTTAATCTTAATGTCTGTCAGCCTGCTTGTATATACAACCAGACATTCATTATATGCTTTTGCCAAACCAGTGGCTTCAAGGGCAACTGTGTCTTACTTATATAAATAGAATTCTCGGTTAATGTGTAAAAATATTAAACGAATTTAATGCAAAAATATGTTATTTACTTGTGGCATCTGTAACTAATCAGTAAATGCATCTGCCAAACGCATATAATAAATATACATCAATGAATCTCAGATTCGCAAGAACTATGATTCCAGATTTTTCAGCACCCTATCTGTGCTCCTATGTAGGTAGGCCTTCCTACTACCCGTATTTGAAGGCTAGGAAGGTGAAAAGACAAGGATTATTATACTATAGACATTTTTGTGATCTGCTTCCATTCGATAAATAATTGGGCTGCACTGCTTTGGCGGGAATACAGTGTGACCCAACACAAACGCTCAAATTGAATGGCTGGGTGTGCATACAAATAGACAGTCGGGCATCGATTAACATTAACAAATATCAAGTTCCAATAACCTGCTTATTAATCAATGTCGTCATGACCACGAGAAAATATGTATTTTATGATACATATATATATTTCCTCCTTTCCTCCGAACTCTACACATAATTTGTAGGTTATGTGTGTGTGTGTGTGTGTGTTCTATGACAGTTTGTGTCTGACACAGGCTATTTCATTCAAACAGGTTCTTGACGCTGTCGATCACTGCAGTGTAACATGTTATTTTTCATCGTTGGAATATACTGTGGTCTTATCTGTGTTGAAGGAAGCAGCATGGAAGCATCATTACATCAGCAAATTTTCAAAAACTATAACAAACATGTCTTACCTGGAGAAATAGATGAAGCTGTAAATGTATCTGTGGACGTGAAGTTATCCTACCTTGTCGGCTTGGATGAGAAACATCAAATGCTTTCATTAGGGATGTATTTTAATATTACGTGGGTGGATGAAGCCCTATCGTGGAATGAAACCGAATTTCCAGGTTTACAAGAGATTATTGTTCCAGATAAACAGATATGGCTTCCTCAAATTGCCATTCCGTCTGCAATAAGGACAAACAGATACCTGACTGCAGTGAATTACCCTGTTAGCATTCAATCCAACGGTACTGTGATATGGATTCCCGACTATACCGGAAATATCCAGTGTCCAATAGACACAACAAGATTCCCATTTGACAGTCAAACATGTTTATTTGACATTACGCTGTGGGTATATAAAAAAAAGCATGCACAGATTGTTAAGTCGAAAGGTCATGCTGAATCCACAGTGAAACAAAATGGACAATGGGAGATAAATACTGTAGAAAGCAATCTGGTTACACCCTTGGGTGAACGGAATTATATTGCCATTACTCTGGACATGCACCGGCGACGGGAGTATTACTTGGTAAGCATCATATTACCTACAGCTGTAACCTCCTGTTTGAACCCCTTTGTGTTCCTGTTGCCAGCTGAAAGTGGGGAGAAGGTGGGATTGGCCACGACCCTGATGCTTTTCTACTACGTCATGCTGAGCCACATCTTTGATAACATCCCGGCTAATTCCCTCACTATGCCTGTATTTGGAATTTTCATTGGAGGACAGCTCGTATTGTCAGGTCTATCAGTTGTCTGTATTGTGGTTCTTCTGAAGCTGAGCCAAACCAACCGTGATGTTGCAAAGATTGAAAGATCGGAAGATGGGAACACCCCAAAGATTAACTGCTTGTGGAAACGAATTGAAACTATTTTGTTTTGCGTGTTTGCAATAACTGGAATTGTGTTTTGTGGAACAGTGTTGATTCTCGTGCAACTATGAAGCTGTCGGGTTATCATGTGGTACCACAACAATGAAAGGAGTGCAATTGAAAGGTACCACATTTGGTTATCAATAAAGTTTAGAAAAAACGGCCTTGCATCGTCCTGCTCTTTAGCTCTCGTCAGTGTAACATGCTAGAGTACCATGCAGGTAGTAGCAGTACTGTAAGCCCCCATGGTCCCCAGAGTGGTGACGTAACTTTGACCAGCAGCCCGTTCTTTGTTATTGTATTGTTCAAGATACAAATCGAATTTTAGAGATAGATGCTAGTTTTAAATTCTTTTCTGTGATGTTCTATTTGTTTTACTGTCTCATATATGTGTACTGAACATGAATTTACAACTTGTTATAACTGATGTGACTACAACTTTTTACTCGCTCACTCAGTCACTCAAGTGTGGTATCGGAACTTCGAGTGATCAATAGCCTAGTTTTAGAATGTATTTGTTTTAACAGCCACATTTTAATGCTTACGTACTTGTTTTAGTCAGATATCTGTGACAATCCCGTAAGTTTACTGTCCAACGGTTTTTACTTTAAAACTTGCCATTGATATATAACTTGCAAATGCTTTAGTCACGATAGGGCAGAAATACTCTCAATTTGACATTCAATATGAACTCACTCACACACTATTCAATGTAAAGTTATGGTGAATATATAGATATTAGTTTGTGTTCAAAAGATCATACTGACGAGTTAACTTGATTGTTCTGTGAACCAACACCAAGAATTGGCGTCTGATATCTTTGGGCTTCGTATTCATGGTATAGCTATGTGGTCAAGGTTTTATTGGTCTACTGTGATGGTGTATATCAATAGGAACTATTTCCATGTAATAAGGGGCGGTGGGAGTAGCCTGGTAGTTAAAGCGTTCGCTCGTCACGCCAGAGTTCGAACCCGGTTACAATGTGTGAAGCACATTCTGGTGTCCCCAGACGCGATGATTGTGGCATATTATGGCTGAAAGCGGCGTCAAACCATTATCACTCACTCACTCCATGTAATAAGGTATGGTAAAATGACCTTGTATGTCCTTTGAAAACGACATTACCTCAGCATGTGATGTCTGTCAGTTAAATACGTCTGACATCTGGCTGTGGTTAAGTTATTTGAATGTAGAGTGCAGCTGTATATAATATCATAGTTTGTGTATTATGCAGTTACTCCTGTTTTCGGCGAAGACCCGATAATTTGTGTTGAATCTGGCGTTGAATCAGGTGTTGAATGAAAGCAACGAAACCATTTCTATATCCATAGGGAATCTGCACCCTTATTCTTCCTTTGTGCAATCCCAATAATCCCTTAATCATCGGCAACGAATCGTCCAGGTTAATGTTATGATTTGGCTTCCATCCTTCTCCTTTTACCATTGGCAACTGTGGTATGGCGGACAGAGGCTCATTCCAATGACGTTGCCAACAGCCTCCAATCATTATGGACCGCCTCCGTGGTGTAGTGGTTAGAGCGTCCGACCGGAGAGCGGAAAGTCGAGGGTTCGATCCCCGACCTCGTCATACCAAAAGACGTCAAAATATGGTACTGTTGGTACCTGCCTGGCGCTCGGCATTAATGGGTACGATCGGCTCGGAGTCAGTATAATGTGTCTGAGTGGGGTATTCATGCTTCACTGCAGCATGGTATCTCAGTGGGCTAGCACTATAAAACCAGCTTAAGTCTGGGCTAGTACAAGCAGCCCCACATACACATACACGCGCATGCACGTCGTCATATGAGCGAAATATTCTCAAGCACGACGTTAAATCCAATTTCACCTCACCTCACCTCACCTCACCAATCATTATGATTGGTAATTTAGTTGATGTTTAACGCCGCACTCAGCGGTATTTCAGCTATATGGCGTCCAATCATTATGAAAACTGGTATTTGTTTCCCAGACACCATAACGCGTCGTTTGTTTGAAGTGGGTTCACATAACCGATACACACTACCTGGTTGTACGAATATACACGTCCGTTAATGCAACATATTGATTCCTGATAGAAAGCGTATACCTCAACCATTGATCGTTCCCAGTATGGTGTAATTAAGTGACACGTGGAAACATTAACCCAAGAATAACTAGTCACCATTATCTCTCACGTGGGTTTTCTCATTACTGTGCTGTGAGGATTCAAAAGTTGTGCAAACAGAGATGTCAAAAGTTATATACAACTATGTTCTGAGCAGTGAACGTTATTTGATGAGCACTGAAAACGCTGAATTAGATAAAAGGAATTACTTGGCAAATGTGTGCCTTTTTTAACAAGATCTGTTTTTTCTTCTTCTTTTTCTTTTTCTTTTAATTAAAGTGTCACACGAAATGTTCAGGCTCTACGGTTTCATACATAAAAAAAGAAGAAGTTGAAATAAGTTTGGCAAACGTTTTCAGCTGGTACATTTTGTACCTGCTTCTTCAGGACGTTTAATGTAACTGGCACACACTGGAGGGATATGGCGCCATTTCAACGAAATATAAAAACTCACTGATATTTATTTATTTATTTATTTATTTATTTATTTATCTATTTATCTATTTATATATCTATCTATCTATCTATCTATCTATCTATCTATCTATCTATCTATCTATCTATCTATCTATCTATCTATCTATCTATCTATTTATTTATTTATTTATTTATTTATTTATTTATTTATTTCAATTGGGTGTATGGAAATACGTAGCTATTCAATGGAACCATTTTTATTCATATTTAGTGACACTACAGTCAGCTACACTCGAGATATATGCAGGGTACCTTTAACTTATCGACTATGAACCAAACAAACCAGGAACGAACGTGCCATGCCGCCGTTGGATATCAGTTACACGACAACAGCCAGGGCGCCGTTTCACAAAGCTATTGCAGCGCTAAGACCGCCGTACCTCCTATACTATAACATAGACGTACGACAGTTGTAGCGCTACGACAGCTTACTGAAACGGGGCCAATGTCATCGAACCTGACCACCAAGCCTCAATGAAATCAAACATTGCTAGGTAGATATTGGAACTCGGACACCACTCTGGATTTTCTACTGACATCTTCTTAAAGCTTGCAGAAATGATATGTGGGTTTGGTTGAGCCGATCGCGAATAGAGATAAGAAGGATTGACATATTGTATCTGAGCACATTGCCTTTTCAAAGCTAAGGCTCGTTATCGCAGCAAACACGAGCTTCAACGTGCCCAGCTTGTTGAGGAATGTTATCTTGGAGTTCGAGTGCACTCACGTTCCTGAAAAGACCAGTGTACTTAACAAGTGGGTCAGTGGGTCAGTATGGTCAATGTTCGTTTACACGCAAGGCTTTCATTAATACTTTTGTTCTGTATAATACTGAGCCAAAAATCAAATAAAGCTGTGCTTTCACTGATTACAATTTGAATATAAAGGAAATTTTGTTGTGTGGTAATATTGAAGTATTTCTTTCTGCCAGAAACTGGGCAAAATTGGTTTGTTTGTTTGTTTTTAATTAAATATTCAAGGCTTTGATTTCTTTCAATCTTACATTTTGCTTTCCTCACTGAAACTAGCACTGCCTTCTATTTAATTTCCAAGCCACTCTCATGAGCATCATAGTCATCAGTGCATAATAAATGATTGAATGATTATTTCAAATATTTATGAAATGATTATTCAATATTATTCACTAATATTTGCCATATGAAAAGACCAGTCACACTTTGTGTAAATCAGCGGAATTATGCTAATATTAGAAAATGCAAAACATATACCAGTTATTTTTATCTATACATACTTAACGCAAAAAAATTGTGAGTGTCAGTTTAGTTTTACGCCGCTTTTAGCAACATTTCAGCAATATCACAGTGGGTAACACGCAGAAATGGGCTTCACGCAGAGTGTCCATGTGGAGAATCGACCCCTGGTCTTCGGCGTGACCCCATGGTCCCTAGTATGGTGACCTACCTTCAGTTGTTGGCAATCTATAGCATGTTTTTACATTGTCTTGTCATTTCTAGTTACCATGTTTTAGATTTAATTACCAATTTCAATTTGATATCTGGGATACACAGACTTTTACTTTCATTGTTCTACAATATAATTATTAATTGTTCTCGTCACGAGATGGCTGAAAAATTGCTGATGTTACGATAAATATTAACTCACTCACTCACTTCGGCGTGACGAGCGAATGCTTTACCACTAGGCTACCCCACCGCCCCAAACTGGAAATCAGTGATCATGCAGCACAAGATCCTCCCATTTTATATCATCCAGTCAGGAAACGGATCTGTTCGTCGACATAGCCCAGCTCTTTTCGGTTTAATGAAACATGGCTGCAAAACAATTTTGATTGCTAACCATTTATGAATGTCATGGACTCACTTGCTTTTAAGTAGTGATGGCATAGTCTCGTGACGATAACGTTCGCTGGTTACGTCTTAAAGCCGGGGGCGGTGAGGAAGCCTAGTGGTTAAGGTGTTCGTTCGTCACGAATGAGACCCGGGTTCGATTCCCCACATGGGCACAATGTGTGAAGCCCATTTCTGGTGTCTCCCACCGTGATATAACCGGAATATTGTTCTGATCCAGATGGGTACCATGAGAGAAGCACGAATCAGGATTACTAAAAGCGGCGTAAAAGAAAACTCACTCACGAACTGTTTAAGATCAAGATGGGTACCATGAGTGAAGCACGAATCAGGATTACTAAAAGCGGCATAAAAGTAAACTCACTCACTCACTGTTTTAGATCCAGATGGGTACCATGAGTGAAGCACGAATCAGGATTATTAAAAGCGGCGTAAAAGTAAACTCACTCACTCACTGTTTTAGATCCAGATGGGTACCATGAGTGAAGCACGAATCAGGATTATTAAAAGCGGCGTAAAAGTAAACTCACTCACTCACTGTTTTAGATCCAGATGGGTACCATGAGTGAAGCACGAATCAGGATTATTAAAAGCGGCGTAAAAGTAAACTCACTCACTCACTGTTTTAGATCCAGATGGGTACCATGAGTGAAGCACGAATCAGGATTATTAAAACCGGCATAAAAGTAAACTCACTCACTCACTGTTTTAGATCCAGATGGGTACCATGAGTGAAGCACGAATCAGGATTATTAAAAGCGGAGTAAAAGTAAACTCACTCACTCACTGTTTTAGATCCAAATGGGTACCATGAGTGAAGCACGAATCAGGATTATTAAAAGCGGCGTAAAAGTAAACTCACTCACTCACTGTTTTAGATCCAGATGGGTACTATGAGTGAAGCACGAATCAGGATTATTAAAAGCGGCATAAAAGTAAACTCACTCACTCACTGTTTTAGATCCAAATGGGTACCATGAGTGAAGCACGAATCAGGGTTACTAAAAGCGGCGTAAAAGTAAACTCACTCACTCACTCACTGTTTTAGATCCAGATGGGTACCATGAGTGAAGCACGAATCAGGATTACTAAAAAGCGGCCTAAAAGTGTACTCACTCAAGCACAATACGATCATTGCAGCAATATTGCAGCAAGCTTAACGAGCACCTTCGAAACTGTACAGTATGTATATCCTGTGCATGTGTACGTAAAGAAGACGAAAACATATAAAAACAGTTTATTTAAAGATATGTGAAGAGATTTTCATGGAACGCAAATGGGATGTATAATATTATTTGGCTCTATTGATTTCCGTTCAATCGGGTATGAATTTTCAGACATCAGTGCAAAAGTTTGCACATCGGTTATCCAGTCTACCGCAATGAACTCCGAAAAGAGCAGCCACTCTGTATGATTAAATTCGACAACGAAAACACAGTACATCAACAAAAGTTAAATAAAAAGAAGTCTATAAATCAGCTGACAAATATGACATCTAAGAACCAATACATCAGTAGGATTATATATTGAGGTGTGATGTGAATCAGCTAGACACTCACACGGAGTCAGAAACAAATCAAATACACGTGAAGATCCGGGTTCGATATGGCCTTCAGTAACCGATGCTTGTCGTAAGAGGTGACTAACGGGATCGGGTGGTCAGGCTCGCTGACTTGGTTGACACATGTCATCGGTTCCCAAATGCGTAGATCAATGCTCATGTTGTTAATCACTGGATGGTCTGGTACAGACTGGAATATTTACAGACCGATGCCATAAACCTGGAATATTGCTGAGTTCGGCGTACGACAACAACAAACTAAGACCTGTGAATCGAGAGGAAGACCTCTATTTACAGTGTATGAAATAAGCCAAAAACCCAGCCAGACATCAGGGCTGGTAACTTCAAAATGTTACCAGCCCAAAATGGATTTAACCAGACCAGAAAATCCACAAAAAGGTCAATGTTTAGTGATTGCATAGACGCTGTTTTAGTGATAATATATATCAACGCAGTGCTTTGAGCTCGCGATAGGTCAATGTTCAAACAGTAATTGTCAAGTCTAAATGCAAAGCTCAATTTGAAAAAAAAAGATTTAAAGATATGGGGAATTTACTCAGATGGATCAAACATGTTATTTGATTTTTTACCAGACCATGAGGCCGGCTAGCTGTGAATTTAGACCGGCCCTCAGAAATCTAGCCCGTCTCGGGCGGTTGGACGAGCCTTATTTACATATAATTATACACCGCCTCTAACCGTTACGGATGTAGGTAAGAAGGCGGCTATTTTAACTGACATAGTCAGAAAGTGTCAGATACAAACATTATTTCCCCAAGACATGAAGACACCGATGGAAAAAAACAACATGAGCCAGAAATGAAATCCGTAGAGTGATGACATTTGTAGATCTGAGATTGAACTATACCGGTGTTTGTGCAGCCAGAGTGGAAGACCAGTTCAGCCAATCATAATTCAGGAATTAAAATGAACATAAGAAGAATTTAATTATGTGTCTTTGATTTGGCATTGTTTTTCCATAACCTCGAGTCAGGTCACCTTGGTTTTTTCTGAAGACCTAAAAATGTTGCATCCTCATTTGCCACGTCCTCGTGATGTGCTCGTGTTTGTCTTCTATAGAGTATTTCCGCTCCTGTGTATCCCAGAATGCCAAAAACAACCGCTCCAAGACACACATACAGCTTTGTGCGCACACACAACACACCTCCGTAGGCGAAAGTTATGGTATAACCGATGGCGTTCCACGTGTGATAGTTGGCGAACGCTGATGGTTTCTTCTCAGGGAAAAGCATGCCAACCAGAGCTGAATCAGAAGAAATAGAGAGTAAGTGAGTGACTTTGGTTTAACTTTTGGGTTCCAGTTATATCAAGATGTTTCTCCTAATTCTTAATTTCACTCTTCCTTAAAACCCTGGGCGTCCTTTCACAAGACACTAAGGTGATCGTAAGTCACTAAGGTAACCTTAGTGCAATGTTGAAGAATGGGAGTAAAGGTTAACCTTAGTTAAGGTTGCTTCATGAAAGGAGCCCCTGGATTCCTATGTCTCCACAATGATCAATAGCATTTGAACCCAAATGTCTGCATAAATGAACATAAACGCATACTAATTATGTATCATTCAGAAATAGACTGAACTGACAAAAATGACCTTCAGTTGATCTTTGCCCCTGGACCATTATTCCAAAGTTTGCATACGTAAGTCCCAAAACTTTCAAAGTTACATTTAAACTTATCAGATTTTTAAAACGTAGTGTTTTTGTTCTTTTAAAGTTTGGCTAAATATTTCCTACAATCGCCAGCCGCTGAAGAGATGGTGTAAATCCAACTAGGGTCCATGCGGGTAGCACAGGTCCCTAGTATGCTGATCTGCCTTCAGTTGTTGGCGATCTATAGCCTGTTTTGTTTTGTTTTATCGTCCTCTATAGTTAAAGTATTTTAGATTTAATTACTAGTTTTAAATATATACCTGTGATGGTCTAGTTGGTTTTACTGTCCGTTATCGACAGATATTTTAGATTGATTACCTTGTTTTCATCGCTACATGGCAGTAATATTGCCGATGCGATGTAAACTTTTTACTCACTCACTCACTACAACAGGTTTAAGAACAACTCGTTTACTATTGTTTTGCAATTTGAAAGCAATTTCAAGCATCATGTCCGTTGCATTCAACTTAACACTACAAAACAAAAACCAAAAACACAATTAAACAAAGAAGATATTTAAAATTCTATACCTTGTTTTCATCGCTATATGGCTGTAATATTGCCGATGCGATGTAGAATGTTAACTAACTCACTCACTTTAAAGTTCGCTTCGTATCATTAACAGTTTTCATCAGGAATTTTAACATAAAACCTTCCTTCCTAATGTGAGAAAATGCAGTATACTTACAGTTAAACTGGGCATGGAATATTCCAACCGCTACTCCCCATATTATGGGAATGGCGAAGAAAGGTGCGATGTTGTCACTTTGCGGTTTCCACAGAAGCAGTGTCAGCACCATAGATATATTACACGTGAATGCAATAGCAAACAGCCCATATCGTCCCGTGTATCTGGCAATCTGACTGGATATGATAGCAATGACTGACGTGATGGCGCCGTGTGCTGCCATGATGAAACCAACCATTGAGACGCCAAGAGAACAACTGATGAAGGCCTAAAAAGATAGAAAGGAGGATAAATGCTTCATTATTTGCTCGAAACACCAGAACGCGGTTTAACATGGATAGACCAATGAGTAACGGACCTTTCGTCGTCTCCGTAACAAAAAGTACTTTTAAAAGTCCCATGGTAGCATGTTCCCCTTGCGGACACTTTGTCTACTGGAACTCTCAGGCTGCGGTATGGGTCGCTGCCCTTGTTGTCAACCTCTGGTTTGTCTGGGCCCAATTCCACAGAGTCAGTATTAAAGTACGATTGTGATTCTGCATAGAACGCCTCGATATAGGTGTAATGTCCGATGGAACAACTTGCGTTCAAGCACTGCCTAACTTTGAAACTCAAATGATTTCCTTCATGAAATATGCAAACATTCGTACTGGAAAAATAGTTGTGGTCAGTTAGTCAGCAGTACAGAAGGCATGAAGGTATGTATTGTGTACCCTTACCTTTGTAAAATCTGCAAATAAAATCCCTTGACTCATGGCACAGGACAAGAAGAAAGGAACAAGGCAGATGAGTTTAGGGTCGGAGAGAGCTGTGCACCAGGACACGAGCGTCTCCCCTAACCCTGGCTGTTCTATGCTCTTTCCCTCGGGTTGGGTGTTATGGAGAGGAGGCAAGAGACACACCGTCAGAGCCAACCCGATAAGATCACACACCAGGAAGACTCCCAACAGAATGTTCACAATTTGCGGTTCTGGTTCCGCTATCTCTGTACCATTGCCGGCAGTTGGGCAGTTGTCTGCGCCACACCATGTTGTTGTATTGGTGTCTGCGTAGGAACCTTGCTTGAGAACAAGAGAAGAGATCAGGTTGCCCGTGATTTGAGTAGATTCGTAACACATGAAGAAGGCACCGTTAAGTTTGGACAAGATGCTGTGGAGTTTCTGTCCAGTTGTTTTGGAAATGCGTTCTCCGTTGGTGGTGATGTATAATCCCTGGGCCGTCCACATTGGCCCGGCTATGGCCCCAAGCACGACTGACGCAGGGATAAGGGTTGCCCATGTGGGGTAGAAGTTGCTGGCTGTGTACACACTGTGGCACACCCACGCCACCACTAGGGTCCACTTGGGTCCCACCAGCCTTATAAAAGGCGGTGTGAGTATACCAGATAGGATGATTGTCCCGTACAGACATGCCAGCGACACTACTCCCAGGCCTTGTTCCTGGTTCAGACTGCTCTGCAGACTCTGTAGAGCTAGGTAAGCAGTGTACGCCGACATGAACGACGCCGACACCACCAGCGTTTCCCGCCATGACGACCAGAAGCTGGAAGGTTCCTTGTGAGCTGAGCCGCCGTTTTGAGCAGCAAGGAGAGACCCTTTCGGAGGCATAACGTCAAGTCAGCTGACGTGCAACAGCTGCAAAGAGATAAGAAGTGATGTAAACAAACGTCATCTATATAACACGAATTTGATAAAAATACAATGATAACGTGAATACATGCAATGCATAAAATGCAATATATTCTTATTGCGGTGTCAAATAATCAAATGCATAGGCTTGCTTTCTATTTACGTAGCAATACCATGATTTATAAAGTCCATGTTTAACCATTTTCCCCTCGTTCAACTCTAACCTGAACAGACCAAGCCTTGATGAAGGAGCAAGCATATACTCCGTAAACGTCGTGTTATTCACAATAAAGAAATTGACATCCACACATCTTGCTTTTCTTATGCATTCCACTTCTACTTGTCCTGCAAGATTAGACCACACCTTAACAGTACCCCCAAAAAATTATAATCCTCTCGGTTAGAAGAAGGAATATACATAATACACTCTTGAATTCTTTGAGAAAGCAACACACATATTTCCATTATGATATGATATCATTTCAATAAGAGTCCAATGTCCACTTCCGACATTTCCGTATGAATCAAACAGTGATGACGCGTAGGAAAGTTGTACACAATATTAAACAGTTTCAGTAAACGAGGCAATGTGACAAAACTATAACATTGTCATCAAGCGTTACCTAAAGCAGTTTCCGGTAAAAATGCAAATGCACAATTTAACATTTCTGGTGACAATCAACTTGAGAAGATGGAATATAACGTATCCAGCCTTCTGTGAAACCAACATGACCCTCAAAGTAGTCTATGCCTCAACACCTCTGATGATCTAATTGGAAAAAATGAAAACAGAGGTGGACTGAGCACACAGCCTTCATACACACCACGATGACCCTCTTAGTAGTGCACTGTCTCGGATTCATAATCCGCTACGTAAGAGTGAAAACAAAGTTTGACCAATCAAACAAACTTCCTTTGAACCTACAAGACAGACAAGTCCACATGACATAAGTATCCTTCTTCTGTACCATTGATTATTTACACACCGCCGCCATATAGCTGGAATATTGCTGAGTGCGGCGTAAAACTAAACTCACTCTCGCACTGTACTATTGAGTTTCTTCTGTACCATTGTGTGTCCTCGGTATAAATACGTTTACCCTGAATCGCCGTAATTCCTAAGTTCCAATGCGTTCCACTGTATCATTGTGTTCCTTTTCTATCATTGTGCTTCGAATTCCTCTGAACTTTAATGTACAATATAATCCTTCGCGAGTCACACGCCCTTGACCATTCAATCCATCATTGCATTTCCCGGTTCTGACTGCACTGTACCAACTACCATGGCATTTGCAATTTGATCTTATCCTAACCCTGAGCACACTTCTCCGGAGTTTGTCGGCCATTGTGTTTCGAATTCCTCTGTGGTGTAAAGGAAAATATACTCCTTCGCAAGTCACATGCCCTTGAACACTCCACCCTCATAACATCTCTCTGTACTGACTACACTGTACCAACTACCGTGGCATTTGCCATTTGATCTTATCCTAACACTGCGTACACTTCTCTGGAGTTTGCCGGTGGAGAGGTCATAATATTCATTCATTTCAGAACACTAACTTGTCATAAGACATTGATTTAACAGCTAAACTACCTTCTGGGGAACAGATGGATGTGGTAATCAATACACAGTCAACACCTGTTGAATGCAATCGTGTGACAGGCTGTGAGTTGACTAAAAGGTCGATGTGCGCCATGTGAGAATAAAAAGAACCTACAAAGTAGCATTTTCCTTGTACAGTGGATAAATCAATGTGTGAGTGTACATATCCGGATTATGTTTGATAATTTTAAAAAGTACATGTCTGTTCAATTTGCATTCATTATATCTGACGTATTGATTTCACATTAATTAGTTCTTTTGTCTGGTGGTAAAATGGATTTGCCTAACGAGCAACGAAAAAGGCCTCAGACATATGATTGATATGTTGATACGTTTTATCACGAAGCTGTCCATTTGACTGACAGACACCGACCTTTGAAGGCAAAGTAACGAGCAGAACATGTACACATATAATAAAATATAAAAGAACTCACATGGATTGGTAAGCCTGTGCTATGTTAAACCATAGATTCTCTCCATTCGGAAACATTATAAATAAATATAGGAAAATTGTTGTAACCGAACGTCAATGTCGTGTTTGATCAAGAACGTATGAAATACAGCCACAACATGCAGTTGGGTCGATGGATTAATTTAAAATGAAAATATCTCAAATTTACACAAATACGAATGATTTGACCTGTTTAGTATAAAATGTCCACTTACTTTCGGCGTCAGTTTGCTCCCCTGTTCACTCCTCCGAAGGAAACAATCGCAACGTACCTCTGTAATACGCCAGTCAAGTGCCTCAATAATTATCAATTCAAACAGAAGACATGACAAAGCGAAACACACCCTGTCGGCTTCTTAAGAGCCTACATACCAACTATTTCTACACGTGTTAAAGCTGAACCAATCTTCTAAGGCCCATATATGGTTTGACCAATCTTGTATGTACACTACTAACGGCGAAACGAACTGCCGTGCTTGAGTCGCTGTATGAATGAACTGTGGTCTCGATGATAAATGTGTCCAACTGACAACGATACCACAATATGACCCTCCAGGGGGCACCTGCCGGAAGCGATATAAAACATGACTTGCTAGTTTAGCTGCCTCATAATGACATCGCATAATATGCTACAAAGTATGGGAACACCCTAAAACTTCATAGTCGTACATAAACATAAACGTGATGAGGTCATTTATACTCTAAGGTAAATGAAACTTTTTGTGTGCTTAATGGGCACTTTGAACGACATGTTGAAAATGCAGTGAAGCAACTGATCCATTATTTGTTGAGTTTGAGTGAAATGAAACATTGTCAAAAACAGCGAAAAACAAGGGGGCTGAAACACACCAGCACCATGTTTGATTCAAACGCCCAAACACAACAGCCTAGTGCATGTGGAAGACTGACTTCCCATCAAACACACAAAAAAGTTGCATCTACCTTAGAGGATAAATGGCTTCATCACGTTTAAGTATATGTATGACTATCAAATTTTAGGGTGTTCCCATACTTTTTCTTTGTAGTATAGATGTGACACGAAATAGATACTTATGATTTGAAATGGATCCACGTTATAACAACATTGCATATCGTGGCATTCTGACTTGTAGGTGGGTTGACATTATTGCAACACATAATGTTGAATAGTATTTGACTTATAGATGGGCGACTATGCTTGTCGTAAGAGGCGACTAACGGGAACGGGTGGTCAGGCTCGCTGACTTGGTTGACACATGACATCGGTTCCCAATTACGCAAATCGATGCTCATGCTGTTGATCACTGGATTGTCTGGTCCAGACTCGATTATTTACAAACCGCCGCCATATAGCTGGAATATTGCTGAATGCGGTGTAAAACTAAACTCACTCACTCACTTATAGATGGGTCTCCATTATGGCAGCATACGTGTATCATGTTATCGAATCTTACTTATAGGTGGTTCTGCATTATTGCAGCATTTCATGTAATAGTGTTGTGCCTTATAAATGGGTCTAGACTGTTGCAACATATGATGTTATACCTAACGGGCACAAAAACGACACCAAGTCGACACTGATATTGCAAAACGACAAACCACCATTGCCAACAAGGAAAGTAAATTTTAATCATAAATTATTCAATTTATTAGTGAATTTTGATAATAAATTATTAACATGTGATAATGAATACACACTCAACCCCTGTTCAATGCAATCGTGTTGGTGACAGCCTTGATGTGGTCCCATTTTAATTTATTATTAAAAGTCACTTTCCTTTTTCCCAATGGTGGTTTCTCGTTTTGTAATATCAGTGATTTCGACTTGGTATGGTTTCTTTTGCCCGTTATTTAGTATTTTTACCTGTTCGTGGGTCTACATAATTACAACATTAAACGATACAGCAACAAGACATGGCGACAGAACGACTTAGCACGGTCACGTTCTATAACCTTGACAAATTAAGACAAAGGGACCTACTGGTGTCTTCACGTTCTACAACCTAAAGACAACGTGACCAACTGGTGTCTTCACGTACTACACATTAAAGACAACGTGACCTACTGGTGTCTTCACGTTCTACAACCTAAAGACAACGTGACCAACTGGTGTCTTCACGTTCTACAACCTAAAGACAACGTGACCAACTGGTGTCTTCAAGTTCTACACACTAAAAACAACTGACCAACTGGTGTCATCACGTTTTACAATTTCAAGGCATCGTGACCTACTAGTGTCTTCACCTTCTACAACCTAACGGTAACGTGACCTACTGGTGTTTTCACGTTCTACACAATACAGACAACGTGACTGACTGGTGTCTTAACGTTTTACAGCCTAAAAACAATGTGACCCATTGGTGTCTTTACGTTCTACAACCTAAAGACAACGTTACCTACTGGTGTGTTCACGTTCAGCAACCTAAAGACAACGCAACCTACTGGTATCTTCACGTTCTACAACCGTAAGGCAACGCAACCTACTGGTGTCTTCACGTTCTACAGCCTAAAGACAACGCAACCTACTGGTGTCTTCACGTTCTACATTCTAAACACAACGTGATCTACTTCTGTGTTCACGGTCTACAACATAAAGGCAACGTGACCTACTGGTGTCTTCACGTTCTACAACCTAAAGACAACGTGACCTACAGGTGAATTCACGTTCTACATTCTAAACACAACGTGACCTACTTCTGTCTTCACGGTCTGCAACGTAAGGACAACGTGACCTAATGGTGTTTTCACGTTCTACATCCTAAAGACAACGTGACCTACTGGTGTTTTCACGTTCTACATTCTAAACACAACGTGACCTACTGGTGTCGTCACGTTCTACACATTAAAGACAACGTGACCTACTGGTGTCTTCAAGTTCTGCAACATAAAGAAAACGTGACCTACTGGTGTCTTCACGGTTTACAACATAAAAGCAACGTGACCTACTGGTGTCTTCACGTTCTACACACTACAGACAACGTGACCTACACACAGCATAACCTACTGGTGTCGTCACGTTCTACACATTAAAGACAACGAGACCAACTGGTGTCGTCACGTTCTGCAACATAAACAAACGTGACCCACTGGTGTCTTCACGGTCTACAACATAAAGACAACGTGACGTACTGGTGTCTTCACGTTCTGCAACCTAACGACAACGCAACCTACTTGTGTTGTCACGTTCTACATTCTAAAGACAACATAACCTACTGGTGTCGTCACGTTCTACACATTACAGACAACATAACCTACTGGTGTCGTCACGTTCCTCACATCAAAAACAACGTGACCTACTGGTGTCTTCACGTTCTACAACCTAAAGAAACTGTGACCTACTGGTGTTTTCACGTTCTGCAACGTAACGACAACGTAATCACTGGTGTCTTCAAGTTTTGCAACCTAAAGACAACGTGACCTACTGGTGTCTTCACGCACTACAACCTAGAGACAACGTGACTTACTGGTGTCTGCACGTTCTGCAACCTAACGGCAACGCAACCTACTGGTGTTGTCACGTTCTACATTCTAAAGACAACGTTACCTACTGGTGTCTTCACGTTCTACACACTACAGACAGCATAACCTACTGGTGTCGTCACATTCTACACTTTAAAGACAGCGTGACCAAGTGGTGTCTTCACGCTCCGCAACCTAAAGAAAACGTGACCTTCTGTTGTTTTCACGTTCTACAACCTGACGACAAAGTGCCCTACTAGTGTCTTCCCGTTCTACAACCTGTAGACAATGTGACCTACTGCTGTCTTTACGTTCTGCAACCTGAAGACAACGTAACCTACTGGTGTCTTCAATTTTTACAACCTAAAGACAACGTGACCTACTGGTGTCGTCACGTTCTACAACCTAAAGATAACGTATCTCTCTGGTGTGTTCAAGTTCTACAACCTATAGACAATGTGACCTACTGCTGTCTTTACGTTGTACAACCTAAAGATAACGTAATTTTCTGGTGTCTGCACGTTCTGCAACCTAAAGCCAAAGTGACCTACTGGTGTCTTCACGTTCTACAACCTAAAGACAATGTCACCCACTTGTGTCTTCACGTTCTACAACGTAAAGACAATGTGGCCTATTGGTGTCTTCACGTTGTACAACCTAAAGACAACGCAACCAACTGGTGTCTTCACGTTCTACAACCTAAAGACAACGTGGCCTACTGGTATTTCCACATTCTATAACCTAAAGACAACGAGACCTAGTGGTGTCTTCACGTTCTACAACCTAAAGACAACACGACCTACTGTTGTCTTCATGTTTTACAGCCTAAAGGCAACGTGACCTATTGGTTTCTTTTTACTAATTCCACCAACCCGTAAGACGACGTAAAGTGTGTTAGTAATTCCCCGTTCCTATAAATTTCACGTGCTGGTCATCATTGTCATCAGACAAAGATTTCACCATTTATCAGTACAGACGTACGAACGAATGTAAAAAGCGTACTACCACATAATCTGATAATTTCAGATTCATTTGAATGGTAATAAAATGAAACCAAATGAAGCCTTTTGAGAATCATACCTGTTTGTTGTTCACAAACCTGATAATGTTGGCGCCACAATTTATCCAGCCCTGTGGAGATTTGTTGGCGAAAGCCATAGATTACTTCAACCAGTCAACTGGAACAACATTATAAATAACAGCAATGTCATGTTTGTTGACAACTACAGAATCCACTTTTGCTGACTACAGAAAATTTCGATGTGACAATGTCGTGGTAAGGTTTTGTTTAGGGGAGTATATTTACCAAGGCCGAATCAAGCCAGTATGTTTCACTGTAACTCTGTATCACGCGGCAGATCAGGTTCTGATTACTCCACAAACGTAAAACGAAATATATGGGATAAGTTGCTCCATATATACACAACAAACGGCTAGAAACAAACACTAGCAACTGCATGCTTATGATCAAAATTAATTAATTAATTAGTGTTTTATCGATCAAACCTCTTGAAAACCGTCGAAATCAGGAATGACACCCATGCAAGTGTATGGGACTACTGCGTCCCATGCATTGTGTTTAGGGGTGGTGATAATGAGATATGGTGGTGCGTTTATAAGATGTCTGTCTTTAAAACGTTTGTTAACGCTTAAGCAATGTACGTCTTATGCAAATTGAAAGTTCAGGTTCCCCTACCATTTTTAAGAATGTATGCTGAATGAATGAATGAATGAATGAATGAATGAATGAATGATTGATGAATGAATTGTCTATATTTCCTCTAATAATGTCCGAGAGTACAATGAATTATGACATGAATACAAAATACATGATTATGTACAAATCATATTACAATGGGAAAGAAAGTTAAGCATAAGTATATATAATACACTGGGGCGTCACTGAATGGAATACGAATCATAGGTAGATTCTGCTTTGTAGGTTTCACGAACTAATGCTCCTGGCTACAATGTCAAGGAACTGGGCCCACATGTGGATGTCCATGTTGTCCACGATAGGGGTGATGCCACCAAGTAGAGTGATAACTCTCATGTCATCAGAGCTACTCTCCAGTTTGATGTATGTTTCTAGTGGCAAGATATCGAACAATCGTTCATACATGTTATTTCTTTGGCTAAACAGTTCACTGCAGCACAACAATTGGTGCTGCACAATATGATCTGTCTCCTCGCGACATATAAGACAGAGTCCAGCACTGACCGGTAGTATCCCAAGCTTTACCAGGGCGTACACAGGCCTGTTGTACAGGTCAAACAGTAAGCACATGTTCCACAGTCTATGGGACGAGAGGCCCGTATGTATAGCAGTAAACCGTTGTAAGTCGGGCCGCATAGATAACTGCTTTCTCCATACTGACGTCTCTCTGGTAAACACTGCTTTATTACATATAGTTTTCCACTCATATTTTGATGGAAAGAATCCCTTATCTATGTAATGAAGCAGATATTGATACAGTTCATACTTCGCACATATAGTAATTAAGTCATGAATAACAGAGTTTATGTTGAAGTTACCACTTAAGAACTGTCCACATCTGACATAAAACAGTAGCTTGATCATTTGGGTTGAGCTCGCGCGACATATTCTGCCGAGGTAGCTCAATTTCTTTTTGTCAATCGTGGCTTCCATACTGCAGAACCCGAGAGTCTGTGTGGTAGCAGCAGTTGGAGACCGAACATGGAATCCTTGAATGATTCGTGCAAAGTATCTCTGCAACCTCTCTAATTCTTCTATTTCCGCTCTTGTGATGTTAGCCCACAGTTCGCATGAATACAGGGCACTTGCTAAGATAATACGCTGCCAGATCTTAGCACAGGTTACTGGGTTCAACCCTCCTGCCCAAAGACCAACGTCTTTGAGAGATGCTATTATCCGTCTAGCAGAAGAACAGGCTCGACTCGTTCTCTCACTTTGGCTTTTGGTATCAACTAAAGATCCTGCGTATATTGTACTATTTTTTTACAGGCACTTGAATGTCATTCAGTTTAAAGTAAGGTTCCTTGATATCCTTCTCTCCGCCCTTGAACACAAGAACTATTGGCTGGATTGTAAAACAACTTCCACAGACACGAGTAATCATGTACAACGTTGAGTGAAGCCTGCAGTCCATGAGTAGTTGTACGTATCAGGGTCGTGTCGTCTGCTAGCACCACTGAAGGTATATGATGTTGTCCAATCAACGCCCCCGTTTAAGGTTGTCGAGTTGTGTGATCAGGTCATTGATGTAAAGGAGGAACATCCATGCAGACAACACTCTTCCTTGCCCCACTCCTTGTCTGATTGGGAAAGTACTACTCGTGATGCCGTTGTATTGAACACAAGCGGGTGGTTCTTTGTACGAGTGTCTAATCAAGTGCCACGTCCGTCCGTTTGCGCCTATATCAAACAATTCGAATAAAAGTCCATTATGCCAAATCCTGCCTAATGCCTTTTCATTGTCCAAGAATCCAACATTAATATTTGATTCTCTCTCCATGTAATACGCTATTGTCTCTTTAAGTATGTGAACAGCTATGTTTGCCCCGTGTTCGTTTTTAAATCCACACTGAAGTTTGTTTGGAAATTCAGGATTAGTTACTTGTAGATGATTTTCAGCTTTGTCTAACAATATCTTTTCAAACAGTTTACTGAAGGCTGAAGTTAACGTGATCCCCCTATAACTTGCTGGGTCAGTCTTGTCCCTGTTGTTACATTTATATAACGGGAGAATAGTTCCTATCCACATTGACTTGGGTATGTAACACATCTCAATTATGAAGTTAAACAGGCGAGCCAGATAACCATATAGACAGGGACCTGCAAATCGGATATGTTTATTTGTAATAAAGTCTGGTCCTGGCGCTTTCTTCAACTTTAGTGATTGCACTACAGATAGATTGTTAGATACAGAGACACCATTTTCCAATATTGGGTCACACGATGGGACATCAGAACGTTCTATCTCTTCGACCGCATTGTTTATAGATTCAAAATGGTCAGCGTCGAAGTTGTTGCTTTCGTATGGCGAAAGTAGGTCGCAGTAATACTCCGACCACAGGTCGCATACTTCAAAGGGAGTAGAGGCACTGTTACGACGTAAATTGTAATAAAAACGCAAATTGTAATACTTGCAGCAAATTGTAATAAACTTGACGTAAATTGTAATAAAAACGTAAATTGTAATAAAAATTGACGTAAATTGTAATACGCAAATTGTAATAAAAATTGACGTAAATTGTAATACTTTTCGTTGCGGTAAAATGTAATAAATATTTACGTAAATTGTAATAACAGTTTTAATCACTCGTAAATACGCGGGTGTTTGTTTTTCGTTGCATTTCATACATCAAATAAGTTTGTTAGGGCGATAACTCAAGAAAGAAATGATGGATTTTGTTCAAATTTGGTACCAAGGTATATTGGCGAGATTCACCGACACAAGTGAAATGGAGTGACCTTGAGATAATTTTCATGGTCACAGCAAAAATCTGAGGGTCTTGCCAATATAAAGATTGTTAGCGCGATACCCCAAGAAAGAATTGACAAATCTTAACCAAATGACGAAAATTATATTCGTCCTGATATAGAATCGATATAAACTGTCCTCTGTATCATGTCTTTTCGCAAATATCTTTTGAGGTTTTGATATGTATAAATATAAAGTAGGGTGGGGTGGGGATGGGTTTCTAACGGTTATATCAAATCAAATCAAATCAAATTAGACATTTGTATAGCGCTACATATCCAGAGTCCTGCTCATGTGCGCTTAGTCGAATGCTCGTTTGAAGAGGATGGTTTTGAGACACGATCGGAAACTGTTGATATTTTCCGATTTTCTGACATTTTCAGGTAATCAATTCCAGAGTACAGCACCCGGGCTGCTAAATGATCTGTCTCCGTATGTTGTGGTTCGGACAAATGGAAAAGCCTAGCTGACTAGCAATGAAATGCATCACAAATTAAACTTCAGGAAACAAAATATGCAAGAAACATTTTTGTATGTTTGAGATTGGTAGAGGTCAGCTAGAATCAAACTTAGATATTAAACTGCACAAAAAGGCAATTTGAAACTACAATCGCTTTTTCAAATGACTCCCCCTTCGGTTTACTGAAAGAACTCGAGAAAGAAATGATGGATTTTGTTCAAATTTGGTACCAAGGTTTATTGACGAGATTTACCGACACCACTTGAATTTTGTGACCTTGAGGTCATTTTAAAGGTCACAGCGAAGGTGTAACAGTTTTGCACACGCCAAGCTTGGTAGCCGCGAACTCAGGAAAGAATTAATAGATTTTGATCCAATTTTATATCAAGGTGTATTGATGGGAATCCCCCTACACCAATTGAAACAAAATATGCAAAAAACATGTTGTATGTTGGTAAAAGTCAAACTTAGATATTAAACTGCACAAAAAAGCAATTTTAAACTAGAATTGCTTGTTCAAGTGACTCCCCCTTCATGTTTACTGAAAGGGCTTGTTTTGGAGACACTACCCACCCCCTTTCAGTTGACGTCATCATAAGGATATAACTCATCCTAAAGTTTTCACTTATTCATTCATGGTGTCAATGGTTCAAACTAAATACAGAATGGTCACACAAGTGTCAGCTCTCAATATGTTGTATATCTGGACACAATGTTTTTGAAAATTTAAAATGAGGGTGTCCTCAGTCCCCGTCTAAATGTAAATCAAGCAATCCAAATCTTTGAATGTTGATGATGATGGGAAGTCATCCAATATTATGCTGAACATATTTTATATGATACTATCTGAGGGTATACCATTATCCAAGAGATAGCGCAATGGTGCAGTTGTAAGGCGTCTGCCTATCACGCTGAAGGGCCTGTTTCGAGGAGGCACCTAGGTTCGGGTCCCGAGATGGGGCACATTTGCGTAGTATCCTTGGACAAGATACTTAGATCTACACTAACTCAGTTCACCCAGCTGTAAAATGGGTACCCGTGAGTATGTGCTGGCAATGTGAGTGTTTAGTTCATTGCGCCTAACAGGCAGCATGGCTGTACAGTCCCCAGGGAGTTGAAAAAGTATCGGAAACTACGATAGTGTCCTATGATCAGGGATAGTAATGTACGTAGCGCCGTGAGCAGGCAATGTGCCTGGATGTGAGCGCCATATAAGCGGACTATTACT